GCCTAATACTTCAACACGCTATACCAATTCAACAAATTCAAGTTCTACTTATAGAGATATCGATTGGGATTGCTACAAGCATATTCTCCTGAAATTGAATTGAAAGTATTGAAATCAAGGGAGGAGAAGATACTACTGAACACCGAAGAGGGTTGAACGACTCCGGCAGAGGTCTGGTGCGCGCATAGAGTGTGGAGTCGGGGATGGGGTGATGGTCGGATAGAGGTGGCTGGTGCTGCATGGGGTGGGGCTCGGACTCAGGCGCGACATAGTTGCGATGCGCACTGCGCTGGTGCTCGGACAGCGGCGCAACGGCGGAAGACATAGGCGGCTAGCGGATGTCGAACAGTGGAGGGTGAGAAAGAGAGAAATTGAACTTAAGAATTTAAGGAGTTTTTTTTTTTTTTTGTTTTTTTTAGGGGGGATGGTCTTGCAAAATGACAAATTTTACCCTCATTCTTAATTAATTTTTGTTGGACTACCCCTGAGAAGTGTGACCACACCTAAAGAAAATTTGGGTTGGTCCCAGGAAAGGTCTTTCTTTAACATCTTTAACTAGACGTAGTTTATATGTAATTCATTTGGTAGCACGAATAGACTCACAAAATGATGATTACTCACAAAAAAATTCTGCAAAATTTATATCATCATTCAAATGAACAGACTCCAACTGACTTGGCGGTAGCTTTGATTTTATGTCCAAAATAGATTTATCATGCAATCCTAAGACTTTATGTATATTTTTGTCAATAACATTTACACTGCATTATACATTAGATTCCGCAGGGTATTTCATAGCATCAAAATATTGAATTGAAAAATTTCACCATCAAATTACATAGTAAGTATGCCTTGTTTCAGATCAATCATAGTACGCGCGGTGTACATAAATGGTCTACCAAGTAAAATTTGTGAAGATTTGAAGAGTTATCATCATGCATATCAAACACATAAAAATCAACCGGAAAATTTAATTCATTAACTTGCATTAGGATATCTTCAATAATTCATTCAGGGTAAAAATTTGTCCTATCGGTTAATTGTATAATAATTTTTCATTTTTGTAAAAACCCAATATTCAAAAATTTATAAATAGATTTAGACATCACATTAATTGCGGCACCTACATCTAACATTGCTTGCTTAATTTTCAACTTATCTATCTTACAAGGAACCAAAAAATATACCTAGAATACCGCATTTAGGAGGAAGCTTACGTTGTAAACTCTTGGGCCCTTTAATTAATTTTTATTGGGCTTTTTTCTTGTTCTTTTTTCTCTCAATTCAACTAATATTATTATTTTCCTCATACAAAAAAGAAATAAACAAATAAGATAGAATCCAATCAAAATTAAACAAATAGCGCATAGAATATAAACATTTAAACACATGAAATTTCTAACTATCATGCGGCATCAGTTATGAACATACTACTTGCTGGGCGACTGCAGGTTACCACCCGACCATCCGATTCATATCATGAGTACCTATTGGTGAGTAAACAAGACTTGGAGCTGAACTTCGACACACTGCCCGCAGTTGTTGCTCCTACAGAGACGTCACGCATGGACCTTTGGCAATACTTGAGTAAAATACGGGTCGGGCACATGGCCAAGACAGCCCCCGAGCAAGTTGTTCCATCCGGAGACCTTCGGCATCATCTAAATAGCCAAAAAGAATGTTACGTGTGATGTCAATTTGCAGGTTATCGTTCATGCAGAAACAATGATCTTCGTTTACTTTTGAATGATTGTAGGGAATGGAGGTTGAAAAACCAAGCTAAACGATGACACGGCCCGACTGTGTATAATTATACCCAAAGTATTTTTTTATCCAAAAATTTCAATAGAACTAATGGATTCCGAATATGGATAAAAGAAAAGAGAATGAAAAAAAAAAAAGATAGTGTAGAGAATATGAATTAATATGGATGGTAACCAACCATAAGAATAAGTCTCGGACTTGAAATCAAACCATATGCTAAAACACAACCAATATGTTGAATCCCACTGCAAAGGATTGAAAGCCATGAACCGATTGAATAACTCTAAAGACTTAATTTGAAATATCTAAGTGAAAAAAAATCACATGTTAGAACTAGACAAATATTGAGATGAAACCATAAAAATTTTTTATTCAAGATTCATTATACTCTATTACAATGATATTAAACACTTTTTATAGAGACAATTGAAAAAATAAAATAAAATGAAATATCCAATGAATGAAAATAAAGAAAAAAAAAACTCTAAACAAGTAAATACCTACATAAGGCAATAAATAACAAGGAAACTCTAAATATGGAATAAGGAAACTTACAATAAAAGGTAATATATAATAAGGTAACTTTGAGATTCTTCCATAATTATTTGTCATCTTAGTCTTGAAGTCCCGGTTCTTGTGATCCTAGCCTCGGGATGACTCGGTTGGGTGGCATTTGAGTCGGATACAAAAGAATTGTAATGTCTAGCAAGTCCATCTTCAATATTACTTTTTTGAGCTTGGACGGTCACGTCATTCCCCTCTTCTTGAAAAGTACTTTTGTTCTCCCGAACACGATATTCATCGACTCTACGGTTCACAAGAAGACTCAATTTTCCCAAAGACAATAATGAGAAAAATCTAAAAAAAAGTGAAGAGCGAAAAAATTGTAAAGAACGAGATGGTTGACAAATACCACAAATTTTTTTTAGCAAAATCGAGTAAGGATGACTCAAGTTGATAGAAAACTTGAGCGCAAGGCTTTAATACCAGATGACACGGTCCAACCATGTATAATTATAGCCAAAAATATTTTTCTTATCCACAAAGTTCAATAGAAGCAATGAATTCAGAATATGGATGAAAGAAAAGAAAATAAAGAAGAAAAAATAGTGCAGAAAATATCAATTAATATGAATGATAACCAACCAATAGAATAAGTCTCAGACTTGAAGTCAAACCATAGGTTAAAACACAAATAATTGGCTAAATCCCACTGCGAAATATTGGAAGCCATGAACTGATAGAATCATTCCAAAGATCTAATATGAAATATCTAAGTGGGAGGAAATCACATCCTAGCACTAGATAAATATTGAAAGGAAACAGTAAAGAAGTTTTATTCAAAATTCACTCTACTCTATTACAATGATATTAAATACCTTTTATAGAGGCACTTGAAAATAAAATAAAATAAAATATTCAATAAAAGGAAACAAAGAAAAATGAAACTCTAAACAATAAAATACCTACACAAGGCAACAAATAACAAGGAAGCTCTAAACTTGGATTAAAGAAACCTACAGATGTAATAGAGTATAGTGAATTTTGAATAAAATTTTTTTATTGTCTCCTCTCAATAGTTGTCTAGTGCTAGGATGTGATTTCCTTCCACTTAGATATGTCAAATCGGATATTTGGAGTAATTCCATCGGTCCGTGGCTTCCAATCCTTTGTAGTGAGATTTAGCCTATTGTTTGTATTTTAATTTATGCTTTGATTTAAAGTCCGAGACTTATTCTCGTGGTTGGTTATCATCCATATTAATTCACATTCTTTGCACTATTATTTCTTCTCTATCATCATTTTTTTCAAATTGATCTTTGGAGTGATTCCATTGGTTCGTAGACCAATCCTTTACAGTGGAATTTAGTCTATTGTTTGTGTTTTAATCTATGATTTTGATTTCAGGTTCGAAACTTGTAATTTATATTAGTTCATATTCACTACACTATCTTTTATTCTTTATAACGACAATATGTGTGACAAATGTATACATTTTTATATTTTGAATGTGTATGATTTAAAAAGTTATTATATTTATAAATTTTGAATAGATTTATACCAAAAAAATAATAAGTTAATTTTTATTAAGAAAATTGGAAAATATTTAAATAAAAATATTCTAAAAATATTTAATTGAAACAATACATCATATTGCTTTATATGTGGGTATTTTACATCAAACATCATAAAAGTAGTATAAAGACAACATACGAACTCATTGTATGCATCGTTTACATTTTTAATGTGTACAATTTTTTTCTTTCTAAAAAAAAGTACTGCATTTTTAAATATTTCTAAATTTTGAGTTGATTTATATTCTCAAATACTCCATCCGTTCGATTAAAAATATACGTTTACTTTTGACGCGAAATTTAAGAAATAATAATATTTTAATTATAGTGTGTAGTTAAAAGTAGTGTAATAACATTTTTGTTATTGTTTTTTGGTATAAAAGTAACGATGTGATGTAAAAGTATGAGTATTTATGAAAAATGATACGGTATTTAATAAAATTGTTACTTTGTAATTGAATGTTCTAAAATAGAAATATGTATAATTTCTAGCCCGATCGAGAGAGTATAACATAACTGATTAACATAATTAACTTTTTCTTAATTAAAAACCATTCAATAATTTTTTTAAATACACAAAATCCTCTCAATTAAAATCAATCATAAGATTAACAATAAAATTAATCGGATGGACAAATTAAATATAAATTGGTCCTAATTTTAATATAGCATCAGGACCATACTAAAATCGAGAATATGCATAATTAATTTATATATTATACTTCACTCGTCCATTAATAATTTTTTTTATTTTACCATTTTAGTATGTCTAAATCAAATTTTAAAAATAACTTTCAATTAAATACCATAATACTTCTATTTTACTTTTACTTTAATATCAATGATAAAATTGATATTACATTGTTTCATTATGCTATATATCTCTAAAATACAAATTTACCTTAATCTATTTTTAAAAGTCAAATAATAAACTTATAGATGGATGAAGTATAATCTACCAACATACTTTAATTTTTTTTTCATACTATTTAATAATATAATGTGTTTCTTTTAAATCGATGTTAAAAAATTTAATTTGTATTTAATATTAAAATAATGTATAATAAAATAAATAAAAATATATATTTTTGTTCAAAAAGTCAAAGAGTTGAAGCAATAAAAATTTGAGTTGGTGACTAAAGAAACACACACCCTTGTTACTTTAGTACACCCAAGTAAAACAACATTACTAAGGAATGCCATACTGTCAAAATTAAAACCACAAAGCTACACCATATCTCGTCGTCCTCGTCTTGTCATATCATATCATATCATATGTCTATCTACACTCATAAACAACAAGCAAGACTTCATCCGAGAGTGGAACTCGTATTCGAAAGAGACGGCGCGCAATGAGAAATATACACAACATTTGATGGATAGACGGGCACGGGCATACCTGGAAAGGAATAGTTTTTTGAGGAGATGATTTTCGGAGAGGAATAGGTAATCAATCGACCATGTATCTTGCAGGCGTAGGCAAAGTTAGTTAGTTAGTTAGTTCATCCTCGTGCTGTTCCTCCTCCCCCACCATTTCCTCCTCGCCTTGTCGCCTGATCCTTCTTCGCTCCCGAGCTTCTGGAGAATCACCTTTGTTTCTCTCAGTCTTGTGACATAATCTTTATTCCAAGCTTCAAATTTCTGTTTCAACCTTCGGAGCTCGTAGTACGGGTCCAAATCCGCCTCGGCTTGACCTGACTTCACTTCCACCAAGAATTTGGCGTCGTCTCCAAACACTTGCCTCCTCTGCTCAAACTCATCCGCCAGCCGGCTGATGACACCTAAGCCAGCGACGGATGTCCTTCCTCCTCCGTTGCTTTCATGGGGTCTCAAGCTGCCGCCAGTATCCCAGCTGGACTCTTCGTCGTTTCCATTCACGGATGCATCTGAATTTCTTTGGGAATCATCCAATGCGAGGCTCTTCTTGGCGATGGAAAGGCTGGACTGAAGGGATCGCATCTGCTTTTGCCACAGCTCCTCCATGGACTTCATTTTCAGCTCGTATTCGGACCAGCGATTCTCGTACTGTTGCAGCCGTTGGTGAAGAATGTCGTTCTCCTCCTCCTTTTCTCGCAGAATAGCTTCGGCACGGAGTACTCGGCGCTGCAGTTCGGCAAGGAAAGATGTCTTCACTAGCACTTCTTCCGGCTCGTTCCCCTGATTCACAAAATAGTTATGACGAGTTTCGAGCAAAAATTCCTCGCACATAGTTAATAAGATCTACCTTTAATGCTTGACTATAAAATCTTGATTGGATCTAATCAATCTTTCGGCATTGATACTTCACTCTCAATAAGCATTTAAAAATAATAAATAAATAAATAAAACGAGAAGCAAAGAAAGAAAGAAACTATCACATTTATTAGCAGAGTGTTACTTTGTTAATCAAAGGAATTGGCATCCTCTCTACTGCAATTTAATGTGTGTAATGCAATATGAATTAAAACATTGAGGACTATCGGGTAGAAAGCACAAAACAATATCCCATCGAGTGATTAGCCTCACGAATGATCATAAAATTGACTAAGAAAGACAACCCCAAGTACCTTTCTTCCTCCAAATTGCAGTAAACCTATGTCTCCTGAGCATCTTCGGACCAGCCAACCACGGATCACTGATATCAAAATGTGTAAATATTATATAGATCACTGGCAAGGATATGAGAATAATTCCAAGCATGCTAGCAGCATCTGGTACAAGTTTAATAATCATATTTTTTTTTTAAATAGAAAACTGCAAATTGTTTACAACAGCGAGCAGATTATCAGTTTAGAACAGGCCACTTAAAACTTTATGAAAATGTGTAATAGCTTCTTAAAGTTTCTAATCGATGGCTTATAGCTGTGTTCTTGAATTAAACAGATTATAATGCCTACCTGCTTGTATTGCAGTTGATGACTCATTTAATCTGTCAAACCTTTTTCTATAGATCCTGGCCTTGACGTGCTTTTGAATAGATACGGCAGCTCTATGCCTATGCAATAAGATTGAGTATTCTTTTCTAGTCTTCTCAGCTCGAATAACTGCATTCAGAAGTTCCATGTCTCAGATAGTATTATCAGGAAAGAAAGCCAAAGAATGTGACAGTCGAGACTCACAAGACTGAAGGGCTGCAATCCCTCTCCTTAACTCCTTAAGAAGACAACGAGCTTGATGGCCTCTAAAGCAGCTTTGCACTCGCAAAATACCATGGAGAGTACGATTTCTTGTTTCTTCCAGCACCCCAATCTAAGATATTCATAACAGCTTATCAGATAATGGCTGGACAGAGCTTCCAAGTAAACTAGCAATGTATAAAAAGCATTTTATTGATGAAAATATAATAGTAGTAATAATAATAATAATAAAGAAGAAGGTAATGTCAGACGATCATAATTATTTAGTTGAAGTTCTAAAATTTCATTGAAGTGAAATTAGGCTTCTAGAGAAAGAAACCACAGCAGAACCTCATATAAAAGTACTTTCAAATCCTAATGCACCAACAGCACGGAAGCTCAAATTTGTGGATGTTTAACATGAAAGTTTAGACATGACGAATCACTGCTTTCATAAATCAATAAAGATTGTCATAGGAAAGTACACAGCCAATCCCTGCTACAGAATAGGGTCCCAACTCATTGGTGGGAGAAACTTCTTGAACTTAGACCACGTTACAATCAAAGTTTGCAGGATCAAGATTTTATTAAAACCTACTGTTTATTGTCTTGTTTGTGATACCATGCAATTCCTCTTTTCTGAACGTTGAGACTGTGGAGGGGAAGCGGCAGCATCAGAGAATGGTCCTTTAGACTTCAAGCGAAAAAACTAATAAATGGATTCTTTTATCAGAAATAATCATCCCAAGGAAACAGTTCCTTGAGCTGTTGTCTGATTGCCATTGTCTTCGGAATACTAAGTTTTAAGACTTTTTAGGTACCTTTTCTTACCCTTCTACCTTAGTGATGTAATCGTATGCCAGTATTAACATTTTTTGTTAGCACTCACTAGGAAAACCTCAATTCCAGCTACAACTACCATGTATGCATACCCTGATGGGTTGCCCTTGAACATTTCTCGATTATATTGACTGACAGATTGCCTCCCCAGTGGTGAAAAAAAAGTAAAATCCAAACACAGTGAAGAGGAGAAAAAGCTATTACCTGTCCAGTTCGAAAAAACAATTTTGTGTATCCTACTTGATACATTTCTGGCTGAATGTTGAACTGATGAAGAATTGCCACTGAAACACTTAAGGGATCCTGAGATGCGACATGCTCTAATAGAAGAAAACCGTACCTGTTGAGATAGCAATCAAATTGATAGGTGAGAAAAAAGTTAAAGAAAAAAAAAAGATCTACAGAATAATTTGTTTTATTTCCTTCTACCTTCTGGAGAACTTTTGATGTGACATTCTGGTGGGAAAACCTGATCTTGATATTCGGACAACTTCTAAGACTCCACAACACCGCAGCTGTTGCAGAACTAGTCCCTGATTGTAGCTTCCAGGAGATTGTGAATTATTGGGCTTTATGCACCGTATGAAATGAGGTGTTGTGCTCTCGAGACGCTGCATTAATTGGAATAATTGGCCCTGACACAAGTAAAAAACGAGTAAGTTACAATGCAGCTTTATTCAATAACAAGAGCACCACCCACAGATTCATTATCAACATAGCAGAACATTATGTATTCCTTGAGTCACTTAACCTATTTAAAAGGAAGGTATAAACAGGTTAGCCAATACCCTTCGGCCTTCAGTTTCTTAGAACCTACTTTCAAATTTCCAACAGGCAATGTAAATATAATAGGAGCTCTAAAATAATAATAAAAATATATGGCAGCGCCACCACCATTCAAGAAGGTAATAGCTTTTGTCTGTGCCTTTAAACTGAGCAACATTCAATCAAATATCAACATCAAACAACGTAGTCTATGCTAAAAACCCCCAAAAGTGTAGTAACCAAGAATTTCTATTTTACCTTGAATTTTGCTGTAACACTTAATTTTTGTGAATCTGCTCCACCAGATTTATGAAGTGCACCAACTACAGGCTTCTCAGATTGAGTAAGCAGACTGGATGCAAACGCCTGAGGCAGTTTGAACATACAGGAAGAAAGAAGTTCGATAGAATCCAAATGAAGCAAATCTCGATTCTTCTCAAGAAAACTAGTCGTGTCATATGTAACCTGAAAGCAATTAAGTGACTCAAGTTAAAGATATCTATTTTCAAGCAACTGCTCATTATCAATAAAACTTATTATTGTAAGAAATTGCATACCTCCCCAGCATAATGGCAAACGGTGAAGGCTTTCTCTCTTTCTCCTCGAAAACAAGGATTGGAGTGTAGATGTTGCTTAAGTTTATTGGCAAAGCTCAAATCAGTGCCATTTGGAAAGGTTGACTCCTCATCTAGCAATGATTGCAATCCTAAAGGTTTCTGTGCAAAACAGGATATGACAATCTTAGAGAAACATAAAGAGAAATATTTCGAAAGTCACCTGGATCATTTTTCATTTGTCAAAACCACATAAATAATACACGTGAAACTGCATCGGAGAACTTATCACCTCTACAACAACCCTCAAGATTTGCAGATCATAAGAATGCATAATATTATTGTTCCAAATCCACACAATCTCAGCACTTGATATACACCTATTTAAAAGAAATTTAAAGAGAAGCCACCTCCCGAGATTACTAAACCCCAATTGATATTGAATAAGAGAGCAATAGCAGCTAAACTACTAACGGCTACTCAGAAAATTAGAACAAGAAAACTAGTAGCAAATAGTTCCAGCATTATCTAGGTTCATACCTTCTCAAAGAGATTAAGACAGTCTTGATTGTCTTCAAAATCAACTTTTGCCCAATCAATACCATCTTGAATATATTCCTGGAAAAAAATTTCAAGTTTCAAGATCTAAGAAAGAAAGTAATCTTGTTAAGCATCACATATTCTTCTCATATTGCAGCTCCCGACTCTTCTAAGTTACATATGACACTCCAGAATTTTGAGGAAATTAGTAACATGAATAATTAAAGCATATTCATCTCTTAACATGAATAATTAAAGCATATTCATCTCTTTCTTCAAGTTTCAAGATCTAGAAAGATAGTAATCTTGTTAAGCATCACACATTCTTCTAATATTGCAGCTCCAGACTCTTCTAAGTTACATATGACACTCCAGAATTTTGGGGAACTTAGTAACATGAATAATTAAAGCATATTCATCTCTTCTTTCAAGTTTCAAGATCTAGAAAGAAAGTAATCTTGTTAAGCATCACATATTCTTCTAATATTGCAGCTCCAGACGCTTCGAGTTACCATGACACTCCAGAAGTTTGGGGAACTTAGTAACATGAATAATTAAAGCATATTCATCTCTTTTTTCAAGTTTCAAGATCTAGAAAGAAAGTAATCTTGTTAAGCATCTCACATTCTTCTAATATTGCAGCTCCAGACTCTTCTAAGTTACATATGACACTCCAGAATTTTGGGAACTTAGTAACATGAATAATTAAAGCATATTCATCTCTTTTTTCAAATGGACATTAAAGGGCCTTTCATAGATCTTGAAACAGATCAATATCTCAATAGATCATCGTGAGTGAATCTCAAAAAGTCCAAAAGCCATGTGGTGGTAGAATAAAATGTAACCTCTTGCTCCAATTTGAACAAGTGACGGTTGAAATGTTGCTGCAATCTTTCATTGGCATAATTGATGCAGAATTGCTCAAAGCTATTCCTCTGTAGAATTACATCAGAATATAATCATAATCATAGGGGCAAAAGACAAACAGAAGGTTAAAGTATGGAAAATGCACACACCTCAAATGATTCAAAACCATATATATCTAGAATACTAATGGATCTTCCAGTGCGCCTTTTCCCTACTGCGAGTGATTTATTAATTTGTTCCACCAGCCAATCAAACAAACAAGAATAAATTGATTTTGCCAATGCATCTCGTGTATCAATGGCCTGAAATATTAAAAAAAATGTAGAATAATATGAGTTGGTTAATTGAATACTGAATCCAAAGTAAGTCATGATATATGAAATATTATACCTGAGCAAGGGTAAGCTTTTGAACAATAGTGTCATTCTTCTTTCCAACTCTCATCTTCCTAGTTGACAATGCCAGCTTAAGTTCCTCAATATTGCACCCAATAAGGGTAGCTACATTAGTTAGACCTGAAAATTTGGTACAATTGTGCATCGTGCAGGAGTTATCAGACAGCATTTTATAGAGATGGTTAACTTTGTTTATCGTAAGTACATTCAAACAACTCAATTAACTTGAAAAAAGTACTAAGAAACACTTCTAAGAAATTCAGGGAGAAAAATCCCGATGTCACCAAATGACTTCAGAAGAAGATAACATTGCTTCATATGAGATTGTAAAAAAATCCTTAAAAATAAATAATAAAAGGCTAAGGGTGTGCTTTTTTGTTTTTATTTCGTGCTTTTGGTTTTTGGGTGTAATGTTTTGTATGGATAATAGATACTTATGTTTTTTGAGGAAAAATAAAATATTTAATAGCAAATTATTACAATATGAAACTGAAATTCTCTATTTCAATTATAAGAATACGTACATATTTATAATGATATACAAATCATCCAAATAAGCCAAGAATCCTACGAATCTCTTAAATAAAATAACTACCATAAATACAATATATTGCTACTAAATATATTTTAACACCCCTCTTCAAACTCTAAGATATGATTGAACAAACTTGAGTTTGTCAGAAGTGACCGAAAAAGATATAGCCGAGATCTTCCATGTATGAATTTGAATTCGCCAAAATAGACTGAGAATGATGTAGTCGTGTCCACTAGATCAGAGTCGGAAGCAGAACTCTCAACACCGTTAGAGTTGGAAACGTGACTCGCTCGCTCACAACGAAACTAGAGTAAAAAACAGGACTCGCTCGCTCTATAGAGCTAGAGTCGAAAACAGGACTCGCTCGCTCACAACGGAATTAGAGTCGAAAACAGGACTCACTCACTCTATAGAGCTAGAGTCGAAAACAGGACTCTCAATGCGAAAGTAGAACTCTGTCAATAGAGTCAAAGTAGCAAAGACAGAAACGACATGAAAATGATAGCATGACCGTGAATAGAAGAAATTCATCAATAAAATATAAAAATATATGGGATATAACGGCTCATGGATGTACCCGGAGAGAATTTGGCATGATACCATGTTACAATATGAAATTGAAATTCTCTATTTCAATCATAAGAATACGTACATATTTATAGTGATATACAAATCGTCCAAATAAGCCAAGAATTCTACGGATCTCTTAAATAAAATAACTACCATAAATATAATATATTGTTTCTAAATATATTTTAACATAAATAAATAGAGAGAGGGGGCAAAAAAAAATCCACTAATTGTACATTCAAGAATTAATACGAAAGATTATTTTACAGACTGATTAAATTTGAAATTTCTAAGTTGAACGGATCTAAAACTTTGCTTAATGAGATGTAATACGCAAACCTTCGTTAATAGAGCCAACGAGTTATAAACCTATAGATTATGTTCTTTTGTGTTTTCAACAAGACAAGCATAACAAAATGAATTGTAGCAAAGCCAAATGAATTCAACTTTGGCATTGCGCATCACATTGAAACTGTATTTATTTTCCACATTATCTTTGAAATATGCTCACCTTCATCCACCACTGGCTCAACATGGTTTTCACTGTCAACCACTGTAAAAGAAACATTTCCCAGCCACAATACAGCAGCTAGCATTGAGAATACACTTTCTTGGTCTTCCTTTTTAACATGAACAACATCTAGAGCTTCCTGATATCAGGAAAAAGATTTAAGCTTAAATGATCCCAGTGTATCATCTGTGATGGTTGAGAATTGGAAAGATGAGTTAATCTGCAATATACCATCACCACACGAAACTCTTCTGCATCATCCACTCCAGAAATCGTATAACAATCGCTTTGCCTCAAATATTTGAACTCATCTATGCTCCTTAAGTTCAATTTTTCTGCAGCAAAGAAAATAGAAAGCAGACAAAATGCCCATGAACAACCAAATAGAAGCAAGACCGGGCATGGGCATGAGAATTTCAATTCAAGTAAAATTCAGGAAACCAGTATCAAATTGTAGAAAGAATATTGGTTGCTTCTAGCTTCTAGAACTGCAAGCAAAACAATGCTATACCTCTTAGGCTGGGTGGAGCTCCAGCACAAAGTTGATAAAAGATATGATAGGACCTTTCACCTTCTGAACATTGAACAACTCTGGACTGCATATGATGACAATCGTTTTATTCTATAGTTGCATCAGAAAACAAATAATCTCATGAAAGCCACTTAAAGTAGAATTTGTACCTTCTCCAGTAAAACTACACAGCAACAGTTCCATTGGATGATAATAACAAAACAAAAGAATTAGGTTAGTCGATGAAATTACACCATATAATGTAACATAGGATAGGTGAACTCTTACAAGTTTGAATCTTGGCACCCGATATTTTTCCAGTTTCACTAAAGTGAATTTCAATCAGCTTTCCCTGCAGAGAGGCGTCATTACTCTAACCAGCACGCAAACAAAACTTGGCACAAAACAAAGCATAATAATTTCTCATGCCAGCCAACAAACAAGGAATTCCATAAATAAGAAACTCACAAATCGACTTGAGTTGTCATTTCTCAATGTCTTTGCATTACCAAAGGCTTCCAAAATTGGATTAGTTTTCAGTATCTCATACTCTATACCACTACCACCACCAAGGGCAGCCAAATATTGCATTGCTATCTTTGCTGTCTCAGTTTTTCCTGCTCCACTTTCCCCACTGAATAAAACCAGATGAGCTTAGTAACAATTCGGCAAATATTGATCCTAGTATCTAATAGAAAGAAGTAGTTCAAAATGAAAACCATGGAGATTAACGTGTGTTCACTTTTGATTCTTTTGTGTGTGTGTGTGTGTGTGTGTGTGAGTTTTCGTTTTTGGAGTGAGAATAGTTACTGAATATACCATTTCGAATGACAAAACAAGGGTTAGATGTGACTTTTTTTCAAGGAAAATGATATATTGAATAGTGAAACTTGGGGAAACCACATACAAACATACCCTAAGGTGCATCAGTATCGCAATCAACATATGACTACCAAGTAAATTATAGTAAGTCTTACATTCATTAGGAGTGTCATTGAACAAGCAGTTGCTGAACTTAAAGTCTTTTAATTGATAAGTTTCAAGCTTCACCTTTCCATTAATCAGTTTCCCCAACATATTCCCCAGAGCAATAATAGGATTGCAGACTACTTTACTAAGCATGGTGTCAATGGAAATGTTGACTCAGCTATTTGGTTGTAGCTCTATTCTCTATCAACCTCATTATAAATAAATCTATCTGTACTCTCCCAAATAATAATAATAATAATAGTGATAACAATGAAAATCTTATACACTTTTTATTACGTAATTAAACAAATACAAGAACTGATAGTTGGCATTCAATCAAAACCTAAGATCAACATAGATGTAACACAAAATCATAGAGCTGCAGGGAGATAGAACTTGACACTAAAAGATGGCACAGCATAACGAAACTAGCTTCGCAAGATTACATATGAAAGGCTAGCAAAATTAAACAGCATCATTGTTAGCTCACCTTATAATGATAGATTGATTAACTTCATCTGTACAGTTGGAAAAAAAAATTGGGTTAAATCAACAAAGCAATGCTTTCCTTAGCAACTATTGGAAGTTTATACAATCGTATCAGTGTGTAAATGACCTCGGATCATTTCACGCATAGCCGTATCAGTGATGGCATATACATGTGGGCCCTCCAAAGATTTGCACTTGTAAGCTTCAATGTATTCATTTCCATACAATGGGACTTTCTTAAAGGGATTAATCGCAACCAGAACAGGTCCAGCCTTGGTCTGGCATGAACAGAAACATAAAGGGAAAAACGTATTCAACAGAATGATAAATTACAAAGCTGTGGAATAGTAACGTTAAATTGACAAAATGATGAATTGGCTTGAAGAGAGAAAGTAATATGAAAATGGCACTTACATAAATCATTTCACGATCATATCTATACTGGAGATTGTACAATACTGAAGGTTCATTTAAGTAACTTAGCTGCATTAAATCATCTACGCCATCAAGAATGTCAGGATTTGAAGGCACCAAAGTTTCTGAATTCACTTTCAAAACCTAAGTAGAAATATTGTCAGAAAGTTACAAACTTTAACCAATTTATCCAAATATAATGGAAACTAAATGTTTGCTCACTTTTCCTTCAGGCAATGATATCAGTGACTCATTTCCAGAAGTCTGAAGAATTGTTCCCAGCTCCCAGTTACCACCAGGAAGTTGGAACCATGACTGAAGCTTCTGAAAAACGAATCATTTAAAACGTCAGTCAGTGGTACTAAAATAACCGGCTGTCCATCAGATATTATTTGAATCCAAACAACATAACATATTTACCATATAATTGAATTATAGTAGGTTGTTCTTTTGTTAACAAACATTTTTCCAAAATGCATAAAACGGTTTTGCAGATCAAATTAGAAATTTATAATTTACAGCTTCAATTCATGAATTACAAATAAGAAAGAATATCACAACATGAAGGAAGGAGATATAGAACAGAAAAATGCTTCAGGATAAGTATGGGGAGAGATATACAAGGGTAAAAATCCTTCAAGAAATGCATGTGAATTCTCATTTTCCATAATATACACTTTGATGTTCCCCTGACACATCACAATCGGCATTTTCAATGTACATTTTCAATGTTGATAAAGGAAAATAAGTAAAATAAAAATAACTACCCTAAACATTGAATAAGACCAATTATTTTGTTACGGTTGTTCCAATAACAAAATCCCGTAGAATTACTTTGGTTGTGTTCTTTTGTAGGTTTTAACCCAGATTTTTACTATTCATATTCTTTTTTTCCTCCAAAAATATCAAATAAAACAATTACTTTTCCCTTTTTATATTATACTACAAATTTATTTAACATTCAAAACATCACATCAACATCTATTTATATCACATCAAACAACTATTCAAATTCAACTTTTTATTATTCAAAAATCTACAAACAAACACACCCATTATGTTTATAACAACATCAAATATATATGCAAGTCCTGTAGTTGTTACTTTTATATGTACTCTAAATTTTCATCAATCCTCAGTCCTGCACCAAACTATTAAACCTGTCCATTTTTAAAGCCCATTTCACTAAAAATGGCTTTATTCAACCAATCTTAGTGCCTTCTAATCTGAAACCTTCTCATTATACAACAACCAAATATGGCAATCAAGATGTAAATTTCTCCTTCCATTTTTTCTTTTGTGTTACTAACAAACCAGTTTACACATTCTTAATCCTGTTGTCAATTGCAAATTGCTTCATACACGGAATACAAAAAAGTGTTCCCCCGATATAAATGTTAATACTCTACAAAGAAGGAAGCTTGTCAATTAATCTTACAGGACTCTGTCTTTAGTTAACTTAGATAACATGAGTAAACCATAGTTTGTGATACAATTTATTATTATTATTATTATTATTATTATTATTATTATTAAACAGCCAGCAAATTCAAGAAATTGATTCAATCCTCCAAATTTGGCACAGATACGACCACCATTCAATCAAACATCTCCTGCAACATATCTAATCAATGAAACAACACTCAAGATGTGACCTTTGTTGCACAACTAATTATTTCCTCCATTGATACAAACAGACAAAACCAAAGCCTATTCATTCTACCCTGCATGAACAACCACCAGAGTCTACAGCCAACTATTGTGAAGTACCAATTGCACCTCTCAGACATCTACAAGTCATCCAAGGAAACTATTCTGTTAAGATTTTAAATATTGTGCAAGTATGCTGATAGAATTGATATGGCTAAGGAAATTATGCAGGAACACATTTTCACCCACAACTACTTCATTGCCATGTAGATATTTCATTGCAAACTTCCAAAGGAAGTCTGCTCTTGATTAATTCTACAATTTAGACATATGTTAAGGAAGTTGAGCAGGGTTGATATAGACGATTCGTGTTAACTGTTAAGAGCATATTGTATCATTACTACATAAAGTTTGTTGACATAAGATAAAACTACTATTAGGAATGGTTTCTAAATCCTTTCACTTTCACTTTCACTTCTATTGATTTCAATGTCATTAACCCGATTGAAAAGTTTGGTGACAAGGCAGAGATGCATGCTAATTCTTTCCTCAGGAAGTGAAATAGAAATTATGCGAAGGCATACCCTATAAGTCTTTCCCAAAGTTACATAACAATTGAATTAACCTTATATGACTTGTGCTCTAAATCCCTTTTGGGAAATTTGCAAACCTAAGAAACTAAATCACAGCATTCATAATAATAATAATAATAATAGCCAAGCATAAACTAAATTACGACTGAATTTCCCCTATAATGTCAAAACACTAAAGCAAGGAAATAATATATTATCAGTCTTTACAGCAGTCAAGGCCAATATAAGCTCAGATGGGACCAGAGGTAACAAGAAGAGCCAATCATTTAGAATAAAAGTGCAGATGGAGCCGAAGATAAGGTATACAAACACTAACACGAGCAATCAAGATTAAAATAAAGCTTGAAGAAGCCGTGAGTGTCAATTTAATATAAACAATAAATCCCAAAAACGTAAGAACAAAGGGGGGTTCGGAGGAAGTTAAACTTCACATTTACCTTTTTAGTTGCAAACGGAGTGGTGTCACTCCACTTAGAATCAGAAAGGGAATGTTTGAGTGGCCTTTCAGGCATAACCATCCCCTTATGATCACCACCATTATCGTCCAAAGAAGCTTCATCTTTCACTGACATATCCATACTAAAATAGGGCGATTCATCACTATCTCCATTAAAATGACCCTTACCATTCACCCCGCCTCCTGCAGCATCAGTCGACCCCTCAACATTAGCAGACAACAGCATCATATCACTCCCAGGATCATCCCCAATTCTAAAATCCATCGGCAATGATTGGATCTTCTGAAAAGAAGGCAACCCCTGAACTCCTTTCCGAAGCATTTTGGCTCAATAAACACCCCTTTTTATCTGTCTATGATTATATCTATCTATCTATCAATCTTCCTTCAATTCAATGAATACACTCAAGAAAACTATAATTGGATCATAAAGGAAGCTTTTTCCTTCCTTTTTGCTCTGCAAAAGTGAATCAAGCTTTATATCAACAGACGGACCCACAGGCTTAGCTGCCGAACCTAATGGAGGGGACCATACAGTTACCGATAATCACACCAACAAGTCACTCCTCAAGAAACAATGACACCATTCGCCATTCAAATAGCTTCAAATGTCACAACCCCACAGCCAACCTGTCCTCAACCCAAAATACCCTTAACACCCTAACAATTAGCCCCAAATTTAACCAGGGCAGCACAAAAGCTACAATCTTCCCTAATATATTAACCCACTGCAACGAAACAGTTCCCCCCAAATCGAAAACTCCGTCAACGGCTGAACTTCGAACAGATCTCCAGTTCAACTTCAGAAAAGAAAACTAAAGATTATATATAAAGCAACAGAAATCTAGAAGCACTTGCTATTGTCGCAAGAAGTTGCGATTCCAGTCTCCCCTCAAAGACCCGCTGCAGGCCCCCGATCAATCAAATGTCGTGAAAAAGACAGCAATGTGGCACCAAACAATAGAATGGACTAAAGAATGGCTGTCGGACAGAAAAATTAATACCAAATATGCAAAAATGGAAGCCAAAATCAGCAGCCTCCGATGGCCGAATCCAAACCCACATTCAGCGATCAACAGATGAGGCGAAAACGAGACCACAAAGTGTCGGCCAAGGGAAATAACGAACGAAGCTCAGACCGATTTCACGACCGAAACGAAGAGTAAAAGAACAGTAGAAATGGGGAAGGGAAGCAGAAAGCAAAAAGTGAAGAGGACTTCCCTTTTGCTTTAATTTTAATTTTAATTTTATTTATTTATTTTTATTATTATATTTTTGTTTCTAAGCTTTTTCGTGTGGAGGGAGTTTGGCGCTTTGTAAATGGCCGCTTTCTTTTGAGGGTAGAATTGTCATTTCAGAATGGGGCAAAATGAGGGTGCGCGCTGTTGCTGCCATGTCCGGTCGATTTTTGAAATTTCTGTGACCAAATAAATTTATTATTACTTTCTTTATTTATTTTTTGTGGAGGGAATATGAAATTTTCAATGCGTATTTAATTTGTAGTTTAGCATAATTCAACTTTTATTGACTTTTTCTCCTCTTATTTTAAATAAATAATTTTGTTGGCCGTCAGTTTTTCTTCAATTAGATATAGGATGCGCTTATTGGAACAATTTTCCATCATATTTTATTATTTTAATTTTTCTTAAATATAAAATTAAACATTTATTTTTTATTTATTATATTATAATAAAATTTAATTTTACATTTAAAATATTATATCGATACATATTTTTGTCACATTAAATAATTATTATAATTCAAAATTTTAGTATTTAAAACCAAAAACCAAAATCTAAGTAACTACACTCCCTTTTATTTTAATTGACATTTTTTTGGCATATCTAAGTAAGAATTGACATCTTTTTATTTCTATAAAACTTATTAAGGTTGTATTCGGTTGGTGGATTGAATTTAAGTTTTACTATGAATTCACTGTAGATATTTCAAAAATAAAATCCTCACCCTACTTGCCTATAGCCTGAAAACAGCTGTGAAGATTCTCTGCAAAGCCCGTCAAGTCCATTCACGGGATTAAGATACATGCAGGTGGTAGGTTGAGGTAATATATACACATCGGTGAGTAGTGTTTCGATTGTAGATTTACATGGGTTTAACACCGGCGTGTCGGTGGGGAAGGGGAGTTACCAGCGGCGACAACCAGACGACACACAGGTGAGTCAATCTCGACCCCGTTTCGTCGATTTAGCGTGAGTTCGGGCATACTCTTCTCTGATTTTTGAAACTCAGCTGAAATTTGTGCAATTCGGAGAGGATATTTCTTCGGTTGTGGCTGATTTAGGTAGTAAGGGAGTGATCTATGTCTAATTTTAGGGATTATAGTGTGATTTTATTGTAGCAAGTATTACCCCCCTTCTCGGCGTATATCGAGTGTAATTTGTTAAACGGTGAGAATAAATTGTTTTTTTATTTTGCATCGGAACGATTCTGTCGCTCTCGACTTACCTAGAAAGCTTCCCTAGAATAAGCAGTGGGTGGTTCGTGGGTAGTGGTTGATTTGATTTTCTGGCACAAGTAATAGCTCGTAGCAGTTGCTGAATTATGGAACTTCCGGTGAGAGTCGTTCGAATGTCGTTAACACAGTCATTGTATGTAATATGGGATATTAGGATCCTCGTTCGGAATGTATGGGATAAGGTTTGTTCAATGTTATTACCTATTGAACTGTGTGTGCTTTCGGAAATCTTAGACTCACTATTGTTTCGAAGGTGTTTACGAGATTTCTTCGTTGTTAGTACCCTCTACGGCCTTTGCTGTCGGTGTTTAGAAGGGAGTTATGCGCACTATTAAGATTTAGGTTGAAATTGATATAAATTTTGTTTATTTGCAGATGGTAAGTGTGGGAATCAAGTTGAATTGTGTTTTTATGTTAGCTGAATTAGATGCTGCGAAGTACTTTCTTATGAAAAGTCGATTGTAGTTCGGTACATACGTTTCTCGCTTGTCACCTCGTAAAGTAGATACTGGTTTTCCGCCAATGATTAATGTGTGTGCCTTATGTTTCGTACAACTTGGTGCAGTTTTATTTTCCATTGTGTACTGACTTTGAGCACCACAGTGATAGCAAAGTCATTTTCCATGAAAATCAAATCATTTGGATTAACATTGAGTTGAATTTGTGTTGTCTTTTTTGTTGGAATTACTTTGAGGTTTTGTTCAATCAATTCCATACATGTTAGGTCCAATTCCCCTTTCATCGGTGGTGTTCACACCCCTAAGATAAACCTGAAGCTTAGTTGTCATTGTCCACTGAGTTGTACGAAAAGAAACAGTCGTTGTTGGTTGGATTTATATATTTGGGGGGGGGCTGTTGGAATGGGAGAATAATGTGAAGATCTTCGCCAGTTGGGGTTTCAATTTTTAGTGCTTCGTTACTTCAGGGCCTACATCTTCGCTTAATGCTAATGCTTTTTAAATTTCGAAATGCGAACATGCGTATTCACCATTATCTTAGTCGCTATTTCATGTAGTTACTATTTCAATATTGGAAATTTGCAATTGATTCAAGTTTATGAAGCTTTTGTGTTAGCCAGTACCACAACATTAACATGCTTTCATGATCAATCCAAAAATCATAAATGGTTTCTTCTGGAATAAGAGTTGTAATGTTAGTGTGTGAAGGGATCTAGGGGTATCATAATTAAAATCATATAGATGCCGTGCGAGAAGGCGGACATGGCATAACCTATTCCTATTACAACGTTGAAAGCGTAGTAATAAAGTCTGTGCATACCCTTTAACGCATATAGGGTGCAAACTGGAGGGTGAAGTTCCGGACGCGCATAGTTCAACTGGGAGTTGCGACCCCCCTCCGAAATGCGGGATAAAACGCAAGGTTAGAGTGCATTCGTTTATAAATTACATAAGAGCCGGTTTGTAGAATGGAGAGTCAAACGAACATTGCATCAAGAATGATTGGTATTTTGGATCTCCTGGTCAGACAATGCCACGCGAAAGGCGCGCAGCGGAGGACCCTCCCACACCGCAGGCTTCTTGGTCGTTGCCACAAGAGGAGTGTTTCCTCTACCTTGTGTGGTTGCAATGGCAGCTTGAGGAGTATTAGGGAACAAGCTTCACAAGGCCGGTGTGGGAATATATAATGGCAAAGTTCAATGCGGAGATAAATGTCCAGTACAAAGTAGACCAATTCCAGACGAAACTAAAGCAAACGAAGAAGACGTACTTGGAACTCCAAGAGTTGGTGGTGACGACAACGGGACTTGGATGGGATCCAGACTCGCGGTTGATAGTAGCAGACGAAGAGAGAAAAAATGACTGGGCTTGGGTATATATCATTTCCACGCTTTCGAACCAAACGTATCATTATCCCTTTATGTTATAGTTTTTCGTTGGCCTAGTTTAACCATACTCTCTCAGGGTCACATAGACTTCGTATCACTCTTAACGAAACCGTTCGCGCACTTGGACTATTGCCACGATATGTTTGGTCCAACCGGGGAGGGGGCACGCAGACCATTATCTTCCGGGTGGGATAGTGCAATGAATGGACGGGTAGGCAACCAAGTGTTGAACCGAACACAAATGATGGAACTGCTGGCACATAAGGGGGGTTGGATGAGACGAGCAGTACAGGCACGGGGACGGGCCACACTAGACCCTCTGAGGCCGGACCAAGTGTTAGAAGGGTTCGGCGGAGGCGAACCTCAAGTCAGGCGGATGAGGTACGTGCTGTGGTTCGTGACGAACTGACAAGAAGCAGAGAAGGCGAAAAATAAAAGGAGCAGGTGGCACAGGTGACAGCCGCTCTCCTTGCCTTGCCCATAAGTGCCGACGTGAGGAAAAAGGCCAACGAGATGTTTACTTTTCCAGAGTACCGCGACTATTGGTTGTCGTTAGATGAAGAGGATTGGATTCAATGGATCCGCCAGTTTGTTGGTTCGGACTGATTTGAGAATGCAGGAGGTTAAGTTGGATCTTTGCTGTTGAATTGTGTAGGTCTTATCCTTAAGTAGTTGTAACTTATAATTTCCTCGTTTCACGTCACCTAGGCGGACAGCTGGATTGTTATCATGTACTCGTTGGGAGTGGTTGTCGACGTTGTCGGCCTATAACATAGACTTCAGGTTCCGGAATGTTTGTTTCTTTATGTCATCTTAATGTCATGTTATCGTAAAAGTGGTTGCGTCGCCATTACAACGACACACAATGTATTTATTATCGTATTTCCTTCACATGCAGACAGCACATGGCGAATCCCAATGAATCAACCAACTCGACCCGCAGTCTTCTCCGTCAAGCACTTCGTCTAAGAGAAAAAAAAAAGATGGGGAGGAGGAGAAGGGGGCCACTTTGTTTTATGCAATGGCAACTACTGCCGCTGTGGCGTTAGCCTCAAGTACAAGGATGCATCGTTGCTATGACTCGATGCTTGGAGGGGAAGAATTCACCCACGAGCTGATTAATGGGCACCCCGCTAAGATTAAAAATTTATTGCGGGTATCATCTGACACGTTTCAAGATTTTTGTGCCATGTTGGTGGAAAGGGGACTTCTGGAATGTCATTCAAGGCAACGTGTAAAAGTTCAAGAGCGCGTCGCAATATTTTTACACACAGTTGCCCATTCGAACCGGCAACGTTCCACTGCAGAACGTTTCCAACACTCGACATCGACCATTTGCGACCACGTTAACGAGGTGGCCAAAGTGCTTGTGCGCCTAGCACCTCATGTCATCCGGCCTGGGGATATGTCGTCCCCTGCGAGGAAGATTCGTGAATCCCCAATTTTCTGGCCGTACTTCAAGGTAATTCCATCTACTAGCATCCCTAGTTTGCTTGCGCCATCTTCCTATTCTATGATGACGTCTCCTTTCATTAGGATTGCGTGGGTGCCATGGATGGAACATTGGTGCACGCATGCTTACCTTCTAGGGATCAACGACTCTTCCGCGGGAGAATGGGTGACACGATGCAAAATTGTCTTGCGGTTTGTATTTTGACATGAAGTTCATGTACGTGCTCGCTGGCCTGGAAGGGAGCGCACATGATGCTCGTGTCTTAAGGGTCGCTATCCGAGAGCAAAACGATTTCCCCTTCCCGCCGGACGGTAGTATATGGCAAACTTCCATTGTGAATTGGTAGTTTAGCGTTTACGATCACCTCATATTCTTTTTTAATGCCATGTAGGGAAGTACTATATCGGGGACTCTGGGTACATAAACGTTCCTCAGTGCCT